GTCTCAATTTATTTAAATCGAGTGCTTATTTACAGTTAATCCAAGACACACTGAGTGTTTTTATCTTCGACTGTGGTTGGTTAATGTTACTGGCCCATTATCATTATTATTATTTACAGTCAATCCAAGACAATTTAAATCATACAAATCTATTGATTTTAAATTAATAATTTAATAAATAAACTATAATAACTTAAAAATAATATTGTTTGGCGTTTGTTATTTTTATTTTCCTTTTTGTTCATAGCGCTCCATGCCTATTTCATGCATATACCACGTACTTACACACTTATAATAAGTAAGTTACTTTTTGTCTACACTAGAATTTATCTAGAAAATAGAAATAATTTATAAGGCAAAACAACGTTTGTCAGGTTATCTAGTAATTATATATAAATAATTACAAATAATACATATATTACATATAACATATTACTGATCCATACGTATGAGTAATGGACAAATCTCCATTAAAAATTAATTACTTATTTCGCAACTTATCTCTACCTTTTATTATCACACATATCTGTATTAAAACTACAGCAATTTATGGAAACAATTTAGAGAGAAGTTTTCTATTTATAATAAATTTGGGTACCTTCACATATATGAAAATCCAAGTCATCTGGAAAGTGATGATTTCCGCAAATAAAACACAATTTGCATATTTTTGACAAACAGTGTGTAAATGAAACTAGCGAAAAGCTCCCAAACACTCTCCTGCATACATCTGATGAACCTACTATACTATATCCCTCCCCACCCACAAATGAATTGAAAATAATGTGAAGTAAACTAAAGTGAGTTGAGGTGAAGTGTGCAAATGCTGACAACTACTATGACGACGAATATGATGACGAGGAGTACAACGAGAACGACAACGACGACGACGACGGAGTCATCAAAAGTGCAATTGTCCAAGTAAAATTGCTTGTGGAAGATTTTCAGACAGGAAAATGAAGCGGAAAACATACTTGAACATATCCGTAAGGGGTGTAAGCATAAACACCCCATACATATGCAGAAAAACCTTATATATGTAAATGTACATGTATGCATGTGTATATCCATATGCAAAAGTTGGAGTCGTAATGTAAGTGATGACAAGGCAAAAAAATGGCATTTAACCAAAAATGCCGAACCAGGAACTAAACTGGAAGCCAAGAAAAATGTTTTGGTAAATCATACAAAGATGCTGCGTAATCCGCAAAAGTTAACATCATCACTTGCTGTAATGGTTGCAACTTGGCAAGCGCCCAGCGGCACCATTATGCCAGCGCTGAAAAAGTAAGCGAGGAGGTAATAGCTCTTCGTTTTTATTTTTCTTTGTTTTCGACATTTGTGTTTGACATAGGCAATTTCGGGGTTGAAATTATAAAAGAATGAAGAAGAAAAGCATATGAGTTAAGAATTTCTTGTTTTGCCTACATTGTATACATTTAGTCTGCTTTTGATTTTAGTGAAGTGCGAACAGTGAACAATTTTTAATTTTTAAAATCAAATAAAAAACAAAAATTTAAATAAAATATAATTTGTAATTTCACATAAACTCACTGTAAGTATATGGAAAATTAAGTAAATATATTTAAAATGATAATTGTAATTTTTGTTTTGTATTATGTAGAAGCTACTGCGTCAAGAACGATTAATTGACCAATGTGCTGCGAATGCAGTCATTCTAAAGCAAGGGGTAATCAGCTGTAGTCATGTAGTCAGCTGTTTCAATTGGAAAATTTTACAATTCAAACTGAGGAGGATTTAATTCAATTTAATGAAGAAATCACTGCCGTTGAAGTAGTTGTAAGTTAAATTATATATGTTTCTTACTTTCAATTTCAACTTATTAATATATTCACATGTAACAATTTTACTAATTCATACATTTCTTTTCATCTATTACGTTATTTATAGACTGCATCAATGAGACGCGTTATTAAAAAACAACCAATTACGCGAAAAATTTCCTGGAATTTTGGAGAATGGTACCCAAGGCAAGAAGTCCTTAAGAGCGTTAGAGAATGTGACAGCAGCACTTTTTGGTATGGTATATTGTACATAATTAACTTTAGCGTATACAATAACATACTTTTGTATTTACAGATGCTTTAAGTACAGATGGTAAGCCGGAACAAGTGATCGAGTCGAGTCTGGAAATCTCTTCAAGGTGTTAGTAACAATTTCCAGAAAAATATTCATCTATATAAGTATGTTATATTTTTTTATGTAAATATTAATATTTTAATTGTATAAAACATAAATATAAAATATAATTTATCCAAAAAAATTTATAGTATTTTATTTAAAAATCAATAGCATAGGTAAAATTTGAAAAGTAAGCGAACATGTCAGCGCTGATATGTTGCATTACAAATTCGAAAAGGTAAGCTAACATGTCAGCGCTGATATGTTGCATTACAAATTCGAAAAAGTAAGCGAACATGTCAGCGCTGATATGTTGCATTACAAATTCGAAAAGGTAAGCGAGCATGTCAGCGCTGAAATGTTGCATTACAAATTTGAAAAGGTAATCGAACGATTCAGCGCTTGCCCGCAATGACATGCACGTGTTAAAGTAATTAGGAGTTTCATTTGAATAATCAGCGCTAGGCATTACCATTCAGCGCTGAGGGAATCGATTCCCTCAGCGCTGAAAGTCCCGCTGGGCGATTGTTTGTGCTTATGTATGGGTAAGTGGGTGTGTGTATGTAGTGTCGTTTGCAATTTTACTTAGTAAATTGTAAAAAATATTGCTCATTCGTTCACATATTCAACACTATTACACTTCATCGAAAGAGTTTCGAATTTTCTCACAAACTTTTGTCATGGAAAAGTTTTCCAGTGAATAATCAACTTGAATTGCAACTAAAGAAGCCAGTAGAGTACAAAAAGATCCACATAGGCCCTTGTATGAAATATGTTTGTCTCACTGCCTCACTGCCTCATCGCCCACTTGCCTATACGTGTGTGTGGTTATCTCAGTCTACATTTTCGCATAATAAAGTATTTATAAACTTTGATGTACTCATGCAATAACAACAACAACATAGAGAAGAAGAAGAAGCAAGAAGTTTTTTCTAATGACTTGCATGTGCAATTTTAGTTGAAAGAAGATTTAATTAACAAAAAAAAAAGTTTTCTATTTGAAAATTTTAAAGTAATTCTTAAAAATTCTGTTGAAATACTGCGTTTATAGAGAATTCTTGGCAAATATAATGTAGAGAGATATTCTTGAAACTGGTATTTTGTTATATGTAAACACATATATACAAAACTAACATATATATGTAAATGAAAATAAATATGTAGGTAATACAGGGTGTTGGTACATACTACATATTTATCGCGATATATAGTGTCAAAGAGTTGGGCATTCAGAAGCAATTTTAAAAAATATAAGTTGTAATATTTCCAAAACTGCTCACCACATCTGGATCAATGTTATATATATGGTAGGACGTTTGGACAGCGCACCGTCCAACAAGTGACCCCACTGATCCATTTTGCATCCATTTTGTTTAATGGAAATAAATTTTAATAAAGCTTATATTAGTCATTATTACCTATGACCTTCAGCAATTTTTCTAGTGGAACTACATAATTCCATCGGCGTACAACGTCTGTGGTTTATCAGTAAAAAACTTTCCCAAGTTATTCTAAATGGCTCTTTGGCCAGCTAATTTTATACCAATAAGACAGTTTTGTAGAGAACTAAACTAATAACAGTCAGATGGTGTTAGATCCAAAGAATATGGTGGATACATCAAAACTTATCATACAAGTTCCATCAATTTGTTCCAACTTATCATGATGGAACACAATTATTTTTCTGTTGGCCAATTCCAGTCACTTTTCATTCAATCATGTGTTCGAGTTATACTTAGGTAGTCAGCGTAATAAACAATACTCTTCCAATTCCACAAAACATTCAACTTAATCTTTTTTCTTTTCATCGTGGTTTTAAAGTCGATTTTTAAGACTCACCGACCTTTGCCTACGATTGCTTGCATTATATATTCATGAATTTAATTCGTTTTTTATTTCGTTGCGTTTCGCCATATCATTCAAATTTCTGTAAGTTACTTTATGTAGTACCAAACATCATGACAACTCCTAACAATAACCACCAGTTTCAAAATTTTATCAATTTTTTAATGCCTATACAGCCAAATCGGGTGCATTTTTGACATTGAGTTTTCCGGAATAAATTCGAGCAAACCACTAACGGGTCTATGGGTCACTCATATCACCCCAACAGTAAACCTCTCAAATATATTCGCAGCAATTCTAATTCTAATTTTTTTTGTAGTAGTACAAAATCACTTAACTTATTTCTTTAGACATTTCATTCATTTTCAGTTTAATAATTTATTTCCATTTCCCTTGACCAAGTAAACAATTTCTGAGGCCACCCTCAGACCACCCTGTATACATGTCATTACAAAAATATATATTTTAATTTATGTACCATATGGTTTCTATATTATCATTCTTCATTATTAATGAAATCTTGAATGATTTTCGATCGTTTCAAAAGTTGTAACGGAAGTACACTTGAGCAAGTCTATTGTTAAGAAAGTCTTCTGCTCCTCATTAAAGAGCATTTACAATGAATATGTTTTGACATATCAATATCTATTTCACATAAGCGCGAAAAACTGCTTTCTGTAATGCCTACCTTCTTGAAATAGTACTCTGTCTGGTTTAAACATAGTTATATATTTGCTCATAGTGTTTGCTCAACGCTTTTAGGAAAGATTGTCCTGGTATGACTGTCACAGTATTACCAGCTTCAAGTTTGAATTTATCTATATAGTAAACTTACAAGTCCTCACATATCTGAATAACGTTTTTTTCTAATTTTTTCGATCAGGAAAAGAATAAGATTGAAATATGAATATGGTATTATAAATGTCGATACATATGTATATATGTATATATATGTATATAGTTAATAGAAACATTTAGTATGAAAATTTATTTCGTTACATAAATTTTATTTATATTATATATTAATACACCCTCATATATAAAATTATATATATTTTTACATTACAACAATCAATACTTTTCACATACATCACCATATATATTTGTATTACAAATAGTTTTCCAAAAACTTAATTCTAAACACAACTAATATCTCCATTAAACTACCAAGTCTGCCATTGTGCAGAGTAGGCGAAAGGACGACCTATGACCAATGGTTGAGCCATTATTGGTTGTGAACGTATCTGCACTGCATTATTAACATTAACTGGTATAATACGCGGAACTGGTGCAGTTATTACCACAGGACCCACATCTGCTGTTACGACAACAGTTTCTGAATCGGGATTCTCTTCAGTTCCCTCAGCAGGTTTTGGTGCTAAAGGATTAGTACTAACACCACATACTGGATGTCCCTTATTACTTGCATCAACTTGACTCTCAGCTGTTACTTCTGTGGGTAGCAGAAAAGCACGACTTGGCCTATAACCTGCAGCTGGATAAGGCGCTTTTTTAGGTATAGGCAATTCAGCAGGTATCACAACCTCTTCTTCAACTACTTGATTTTCTGTTGGTAAATTAAAGGCAATTTTTGGTTTAAAACCAGCAGCTGGATAAGGTGCCTTTTTGGCAACTATAACTTCATTATCATCATCATTATTCAATTCCAGTGGCACTCCATTGTAAAGAGTTACTGTTTCCAAATCAACAGTAGAAGTGGTGGTACTCAGATCAATTGCTGTTTCAGTAGTTGTTGTGGCTAAACCAGAACCATCATCATCTGCTAAGCCATCAGCAGTTGTTGTTGTTATTCCCGCAGAGTCAGCATTTTCACCGGGTAAATCGAATGCACGGCCTGGACGATAACCAGCTGCTGGATATGGTGTTGGCTTAATTTCGCGTACAGTTGCATTCACTGTAATCGGATTATCATCTTCTACTTGCGTTTCATATCGATTTATGCGTATTTGTCTTGCATGCCCGCCACAAATAAATGCAATTAATAGCATAGCTATTAATTTATTTACACCGCCAGTCATTTCGTAATTCAATTATTTACATGTAATTCGAGAATGGAAATATTTTAATCCTGCCAATTTATCTTCGTAACAAACAATCGATTCCAGTTACCACAAATTATCAATTCCGACTGTTTGCGTTGCAGAGACGTGCGAACATTTTTATATCACAAAAATTTTTATTAAATATTTTTCTCTCCTCATATGTAAAGTTTTTCTAAATGATTTCCAACAAAATCTCAAATACTCTTCAATGAAAATGAAAGTCACCCAAACTAAGCACAGCAATATTCAAATATTCGAATTTAATGCCATATGACGGCGATTTAATTTTTATTAATTTTGTTCAATATTATTTATCGCTATTCTCGGTTCTCGATATTCGGTTCTCGATTGTCTCCAGCACATCCAAAGCATTTGCTCCAACGAACGACTCCTTTATTGTCGTGCAATTCAATATGAAATAAATTTATTATACGTGGTCTGAAAATTAATTATTTTTCCAAATTGCTTTACAATTTATTTTTATTTACAATTTAGAATTCTTCTGCTTCGTTGCGAACACGTAAGCTTAGATACTTATGTACAATTCCAAATGTGGAATGCAGCTCTCAGATACTAACCGTATTATTCGCATACAAATGACTTTCGTAAAGCATGTGATATGTATCTGTAGAATGAATTATATTTTCATATATATCCATATAAATTCATTTGATTTCAAATACCTATTTATCGTCAATGCACAAATGTTGAAGTGTGCGATATTTAAACAATTTATCACTTTACAAATTAATTTATTTCAGTTCAATTTATTAAATGTAATTCAATTCATTCCATGCAATTCGGTCAACACTCTCACTAATTACTGCATTTAAATGGTCATTAATGAGCAGTTCAAAATCTAGTCTATGGGTTAACCAAGCCACTTATTCATTAGAACATAGCATTAAAAATCTATGCTAACTTATACCATGGGAGAATTAATGTATTCAAATGAAAACAACACAAATTAACAAAAATCTTAGAATAACAAGTTCGATAAAAGTTTCAAAATTTCTTTCGTAAAATTCAAATATAAAAACATATAGTGGGATATATGACTATATGTACTATGATCAACTTCTTAACTATTTTTTATAAATTTAATAAAACTATATTGTATAATTACCAATGATAATCTTAAGGAGGTTTGATGATACTTTGAGTTACTCCAACACTCTCTCCATCTTTCCCTTCAAGTAACTATTGAATTTCCTATTTGTTTACACTTATAAATTTTATAAGGACTTTGGCACTTGAGTTAGATTACGAGTTAGATTACGAGTTAGATTACTCAAATACCAAAATGCTTAGTTAGTTAGATTAGTTATATTACATATCTAATCTACTATTATTAGATAATTAATGACATACATTGTGACCGAAAGGTTTTCGGAGGTTCTCATTTAAAATTCGCGCGCTGTATATTTTTCGATATTTTAAGTTTATGTAGTTTGGCAGCAATTAAGGACAATTACTATGCCAAAAATGAGCGCGATCTGTCGGACAGTTCGTTTACGGCAGCTGTTGAAACCAGTTCACCTCAGTAGTGCGTTGCGAAAAAAACAATGGAAAAAAATATTGAACAAAGAGTTTGCATCAAATTTTGTTTTTCGAACGAAATTTCGTGTGCAGAATCGTTGCGAATGCTACAAAAGGCTTATGGGGAATCAGTTTTATCGAAAACTCAAGTTTATGAGTGGTACAAAGCCTTTCAGGACTGTCGTACGACCGTCGAAGACATGCCGCGTTCTGGACGACCTTCGACCTCTACCACCGACGAAAACATTGAAAAGGCAAAGGAAATCGTGTTCAAAAATCCTCATGTGAGTGTTAGAGAGATAGCACGAGAGCTAGGCATCGGTCGTGAGATGGCTCGTTTGATTTTGGTGGACAATTTGTGTATGCGACGTGTCAACGCCCGGCTTGTTCCGATTCACCTCAATTTGTTCAACATTATCAACGATTTTAAGGCCAAACATTCAATAAATACCATCGAACAGCCACCGTATTCACCTGATCTTGCACCGTGTGACTTTTTCCTGTTTCCCAACCTCAAATTACCACTCAGAGGAACGCGTTTTGAATCCATAGAAGACGTAAAACAGAATTCGCAGAGGGAACTCAAAGCCATACCGGAAAGCGCCTATAAAAAATGTTTTGATGATTGGAAGAAACGTTGGCATTTGTGTATCGCTTCTAATGGAGCATATTTTGAAGGAGATAAAATAAATATTGATGAAGATTAAGAATTTTGCGTTTTATTTATTTATGACCGGAAACTTTTCGGTCACAATGTATTATTGTTAAGATAGTGTACTGAATGGACTGAAGAATGTATGTCGCTTATAGACATGGAACTAAATGCAGAAAATAATCAAAAATTTCTAAAACTCTTCTTCATTTTCTTGCATATGTTGTGTATGGTACAACAGTTATTTTATCCTATGAAGTAAAAGCATCGCTGAAGCCTCTAAAGAGTTTTGGAAACCACTACTAGTATATATATTCTATAACACAAAAATTGTTGGGTCTTTAATGACGGTGTCAAAAAATGATCAAAAATTGTCCATTATAAATAAATTAATGATCACTGAAAATTGAATATTGTGCTTACCAGAAACTATAACAAATCGACTGCTAAGCCTGTAGAATGACAGACTAACAACGCCACTAATGAAGAATTAATGTATCGTAAATTTTAAAAAGTGTCAACTTTCAAATGAGACCCTCATGACATTTGAACGATTACTCATTTAGTTATAGCTGTTTTAGTGTCACTAAAACTTTTGATATCTTCGGAATAATGGATTCAAAGTAACTACGTGTCTTGATTTATCATTGCTTTTTAATGAGAAAAGGTAACGTGACAGCAAAAACTTAGCTTGGTTAGTGCTACCCGGACTCTGCTCTATCAAGATAAATGCTAGTGAAGTGGTTTTTTGCCTATAGACGCAAAAATCGATAATATAAATGAAAAAGTTCACAAAATCGTATTGCATAACCTTGAACTAAAGTTATAGGAAATAGTTAATACCTTAAAAGAAACTGATTTCAAAGGAACGCATCAGTTTTGCTTTGCATCAACATTTGTCTATGTGAAAGCTCATTTCAAGACAATTAACCAAAAAAAAAAAAATGTGCCTTTGATTCTGTTTGAAACTGTTCAGGTAAGGCAAAAAGGGCTTTTCAGTATTTTATAATGTATAAGACTTGGAAACACCTTTTCACTCCAGAATCAAACAGTCGGCTGAGTGGATAGCAGAAAACGAACTTCACCCTAAATAGCCAAAAATGCAGCAATCAGGTAGCAAGTTTATGGGGTCCATATATCAAGACGCGGTGTTGAATTTTGTTCATTAACTACCTTGAAAAAGATCAAACCGCTAAAGGTGATGCCTACATAGCTAAACTAGTATGTAAGAAGAAGAAAATCACGAACCAATGGCATCCTATGAAGCAAAAAAAAAGTCATTTTTCAACAAACCAACGAGCCATATCACAAATTATTGGCCAAACTGTACGAATCACACTTTCTATAGCCTCCGCACCCACCGTGTTTGTCAGGTTTGGGCAATAGTATTAATTTCGAAAATTTCCAGGGAAAGAGATTTAGGTTCAAAGAAAAATTATCACCGAAACTGATGGGACATTTAGGGGTAAAAGTAAACAAATATACAAGAGAGATGTGCAATTGCAACAGAGGCGTTGGAATACTTCTATTACTCTTAAAGGGTTCTACTTTGAACAATGAAGAGAGGTATGGAATTGTTAAAGAAACGTTCGAATACTTGTATTACTCTTGAAGGAGTCTATTTTGATGAAAGAAGTCAAATTTTGTCAAGAGCTTTTCTATTATTAGTTTTCCTATGGACTTATTAGCCAATGTATTATAATCAAGTACCCATTTATTGATCTCAGTATCATTCAGTTCCAAATGGCATTTTAAAAATACCCTCCAGTCAATAAAGAAACACTCCTTAATTGCTATACTTCACTGCTGATTCAACAGACACTCACAGCTTAAACTTCAATTTGTCGTTGAAATGTAGTAATTCACCCCGCCCACTTGAAGCATTGGTGAACAGACAATGAATGTTGCTGTACATTTTTGACAGACAAAGCAAAACACATAAATTCGTTGGAACAACCTCATTGACAAAAACAATAAAATCAGCAACAAGAACAATATCGGATGATTGTTTTAATTAAGTCACTCACATTTGTCTGGAATAAACAAACAACAACAACAACAGCAGCAGCAGAAGCAGCACAACAACAAAATCATACAAAAAGCAATGCACAAACAATGCACATAAAATGTCAATAGGCATGACAAGTAGACAAATGACATTTTAGCCACGTCGCTAGCCTATCACGGAACCCTCCCAACATATACTCGCACACTTTTTTGTATTCACAGACGTAAGCTATAATTGCGTATGTGCTTCATTCCACGCACTGACCATAAAGTTTACAGTGACGTGCAAATTTACGCAGTGACTAAAAATAAACATAAAACAATGCACACATGCATTATGCGTGAAATACCCATACGAAGCAAAACAATAACCAGAAAAATGGCATCATCAACAACAACAACAACAACGATAGTAAAAACAACGCCAGCAGCAGCAGCAACAGCAGTGATGAACGAAAAGTTAAACAATGAACTTTTTACGGTGAAACGAGTGCAAGTGCAAATAGCGACAAATATGAATACTTATCAGTGTATAGACATATTTATATATATATCTACATACACAATCAACCAACACATATACATGCAATTTAACCATGCAGCTTTGTAAAATTGCGACTACGTTTGCTTCGCATTTTTATGCTATGCTGCTGTTGTTGTTGTTGTTTTTGTGAAGTTATTGCTGTTGGTGGAGTAGTAGTTGTTGTCATTGCTATTGTTAACATAATGCTAAATGCTTAACCATTGTCCCGTCTATTTAATGAGGGCGTAAGCCCAACATAGTAGTTCTTACTATTATACCCCTTAGCAGCAGCAATGCAATATGCCCAGCAGCCGTAACAGTGGCAACTGCAGCAGCTGTGACGTTAACCAACGTTCACAGCTTAACTGCCACAGCATATGTAAACAAAACTACAAAGTCATAGATGTCCACTTGTCCCCTTTCGGACTATTCATGTGTTGTCTTTTGTTGGCTTTTGTGTGTTTGTATTGTTGTTGTTTACTCATAGCCATGCATGCTTATAAGTCGCGTATATTTTTTTGTTTGTTTATTTTAATTTTTCATTGCATACTCTTTGGCGTTCATGAATTTTTGCTGGCTATTTCAGTACTTATTGTTAATAAAACAAGTAAAGCTCTTGTCTGCGTTGGTTAATTACAACGAAATTCAAAGGATACGTGAATAAATAAATACTTGAAGAGAATACAGGAATTAAAAAATTTTTTTTTTTTTAAATTACAATAAGTAATTATAATAATTATTAAAGGTTATAATTGAGTCTTAACAAAATTTCCGTAATCAGTTCATCCTTTAATGTGAATAGCAACTATCGAGGACTTATTTTTAATATTTAACAATGCCTAAAGCTCGTAATCACGAATATTAAGAAATTCAATAAGGATTTCAAATTATTCAGCTCTCAACTATCAAAGTAACATTTTTGAATATTATCTACCATAAAACGGGATCAATCCTCATTAAAGATATATTAAGACAGCTTCGCTTTTGTTTGTTTAAAATTTGTTTTCACTAATATAAGTATAGTTATAACTGTTTTCATTAAGAAAGATGGTAGATAATAGCGCCACCATTGACAAACTTATATGTTTTAAGAAATTGACAACTTTGAAATAGAATGTGTCATTATGTTTAGACACATTTAGCAAATAAACTCTGGTGTCAAATCCCAAAATCAACTTGATCTCAACAAGAAACGTACCAATGAGTTACTTCAACTGAAACATAACCTCGTTACCACTTCCATTCTTTAATTTTTTCAATAATATTCTCGACAGTGAAGTGACCTATATATTCTTTATGCCGTGTTCTTTGTGGATGTATCTTTATTTTGTAATGAGCTACTTTTAATAAATTAAAAATATGTGTATTTAATTAAATTGAAGATAGAATTTTCATTTTCAATAGTGCTATCAAATTTAAAATTAAATTATTTAATAAAAATTAAAAGCGAAAAAAATTTTAATTATTATTGTTCTTGAATATATAATTACAGACAAGTTAAATATATCCACACAGTGAAGTCTATTTCAATTTCACTTTCATATTACCTTGTTATTAAAAGTGTTTGCCTTATGAATTTTAATAGCTCCCAAATGTAATCGTTGTAGTCGAGTAGAAAAAAGCTTCATATATATATTTTAACCATACATATTTTAATCGCACAATTAGCCATCGAACATATAAATGTGTACTTAAAATATTTGAAAAGCAATTATAAAAATTTTAAAAGATCTTAAAAATCATCGCATACCCTAACAACTTGACGTGAATACTTCCTCATTTTAGATTTCTTAGTAAAGAAATTTCGGCGGCAATTAAAATCCTATCGAACCACTGGAACTAATAAAATTCATTGAATGACTAGTCTGACAATTGCTTAATACTTTGCATATTTTATTTTCAATTTATTTCAATTCTAGAGTTTATGTCAATCGCATTGTCTGACTATCGAGCAATGGCAAAATTTATTACACTACAGTCGGTTGGTTCCATAATTTTCGTCTCGTCACGTTACGGCACGTCATTAAATCAGCACGAATTTTGTTTGTCGTTTCTAAAAAAATTCGCTTTATCCATTAATGGTTGCACCAAATAAGGATACAATCCGGCATACTTCTTGCACATTAAACAGTCCAACTAAGCAGAAGCAGTATAAAAGGCGTTTCATTGCCACAATCGAGCATCAGTACTCGCATCCACTCCACCGTCGCACAAGCACTTTCCGAATCGAACATAAAATTCAAATTCGTAGATACAAAATGGCAAAGATTCTGTGTATACTTTTTGTTGCCTTAGTATTTGCGGTAGCGTTAAATGAAGCTGAGCCACAACGTGCACGTTCAAGTCGCATAACACGTCCTCGCACACGGTATCTTGCACGACAAGAAGCAGCTGCCGATGCCGCCGCTGTGACACCATATCCTTCTGCAGATGAACTGAAGCCTGATGTACCTTTCGATGAAGCTGCAGCTCCACCTGCAGTGCAAACACCAGATGAGGTTTACGGTCCACCAGAAACAACTTACAATGCCCCCGATGAAGTTTATGGACCACCTGAAGTAAGTGATAATGGTCTGCCCGCTGCAGATCCAGCAGCTGAAGATTTCCCAGCACCACTTGATCCACAGCAAGCACGTTTAGTTGCTGCTCGTCGTGCGAACTTACGTCAACGTCAGCTTGCCTACCGTCAGGCCAATGTTGCACGTGCAGCACGTCCTGCCAAATTGAAAGCTGCCGTAAGACGTACCGCTTAAAAATAAAATTTCGCTACAAATGAAATGTGGGCAACGAATACTCTGACTCCAAGTGAGAGTCTTCAAATGTTGTCCATATTGATTTGATTTTAAATGAAAATACTCCTAACTTAAGAAAATGACACTGCTGCACACTCCGAACACTTCCGCGTTAGTTTTAAAATTATCCTTACATTTGTGACATTTCTATTTCGATAAGTGATAAAATAAATTAAAATAAAATAAAATTTATTTAATAATGTTTAAATTGTTGAATATTTTTACTAGCACCGAGGACACTTTTTTTTATTATAAATGAAACAGTTTTTAATCCTTGACATTAATGAAAACTGGGCTCCTAAGTGGTTAGTAAGATTTTCTTCTTACTTTTTTTGCTTCTTAGTTAGAAGGAGTTCCAAAAAATTTTTAAATTTCAATAGAAAAATAAAATTTATTTGTTTATTTATTTGGGAGTTAACAATAAAATTAATATTAAAGTTAACTAAGAATAAGAAACTGGACTAAAGAAAAATAATAGAAAAATGTTTATAAAAACTATAAGGATCAGATATAATAATAGCCAAACTTAGTTTTTGCGCAAAATATATAATTGACAAGTAATATGCAGTTCCGTGATCTATTTAGAGTGCAAATTGAGTAGTAGATTAAAAGACTTTGATATATTATTTATGTATATGGGTCAGAAAATAATACGACCACCGTAGTGATCTGAGTTTTAAGGGCGATAATTCTACTGATGAATAAAGTGTGTAGTATCTCAGAGTAATCACTAACCGTACGGGGCGGTACGCAGATCTTAGATCAATCATTGAATAATCACGCAGATTATGAGGAATACTCAAATTAGTCAGTGAGATAGATGGGACTCTGCAAGAACCCCTCAGCCATCGTAGAGCAAAAATGCCCAGATGTACTAACTCGGAAAAGGCTCAACAAAACTATCAATGTGACTTTTCAAAACACATTCTCTTACAGTAAAAGTTCGTAATATGATGAAAAAGCTTATACTCATTATAATCAGTTTGATAATTGGGCTATAGATATATTAAATACTATTTAAAGACTACTTATTTTCAAACTGTCCAATATACAGGATTGACTATGTTAGATGGACTTATCTGTTTTACAAAAACTATTTGAAAGAACATATTTTATGTTGTTAAAATTAAAAATCATTTTAATTACTTCAAAAATATTTGATTATATCACCTTCTGAAAATTATACGTCGCAATTGACCACCCTTAGCTCGAATGGCATAGTTTGTCAATTTTTTGAAGTTTTCGATTATATTTACCAATATTCCGACCACTATATCAACTATTTCCTGTCGGATGTTGGGCTTAAGTTTATCTAACATCCTTAGATCATTGATATATGCCTTTGACTTCAAGTGGTGTCAAAGGAATAAGTCTGGTACAATATTTATACAAATATTTATACAAATATTTAGTTAGTTACCTAGTTAGTAAACTAATTTTCGTTTTTTCAATAGAATATTACTTAAATCAGATTAGTTAAGTACAGTTTAAGTTGGTACCAGTTTTATAACAGGTTTCCACAGTACAATTTAAGTAGCTACCAGTGTTATAACAGGTTTCCACTGCTTACTTAGCAAGTTACTAAAGTAACTTTCAGATTTTGTGGTTTCTATTGACATAAGTTACTTATTGCATGGGAAAGAACTTTTAAGTATCAGAAAGTTCTTTAAAAGTCTTGAGAGAGCTTCCGTATTTTTAAAAAAATTTCACTCAATAATATATCATACAAAAAACTAAATATATGATTGATATGTTACTTCATTTATATATATACATATATATTTTATAATTTTATTGGGTATTCATTTATTTACAGCTCAACTGTTGTTTCTTTGCATTTTACTTATAAAACATGTGACAAATATTTCAAGCTTCAGTAATTTCCCTTATGGGAAATTTATTTATGAGGGTTGCATTCCACATTTTTAGTCCAATTTTTCTTACTTAATTTTTCAATTAGCTAAAAAGCGCTTTGTATTGGTTACAAAGTAAGTTACACTTACTAAGTAACCAATGGAAACATACTGCTATTTTACTGTGATGAAGTCTAAAATAGTCAGTACCCTATTCCCATATTTTGTAGTTTCTTTTTCCACTTTTTTTAAATAATTAAGTGTTTAAATTTATATAAAAATAAATTCGTATCACTCCTTTATTTAAAGCAAATATTGCCGTCACGTAAAAAGTAGCATTTATTATTGCCATAGAAGATCAATGTTTATAAGAGAATAATAATAACCAATCATTTATAATAAAAAATGGAGTAAACTTTAACAAATACAATTTTATTCTATTATTTGAAAAAGATAAAAAATTTCACTTTGATTATTTGTACACGAAGAACTTATTTCGTTTGATTATTATTGGCTTTGTGTGCATCAAGAAAATATGTGCATTCTTCTCTACTTCGATATTTGCTCAATATTAACATTTTTTTACCTTAGCAAATAGACTTAAGGAACAATTTCTAAAGTTGACATCTTGTTAAAAATATTTCAAAAAGATTGTACGAGCGAGAATTTTATCAACAAGTACAAGAATTTAAGTCAATAAAGCAGGAATACAGAAAGTCCATAGGAATGAAGTGCTCTGGAATTCAATAAAGAAAACTATTGTTTGCAGATAATAAAAACCAATTTCTTCATGTGCCTGCGAAACCACAAACCAGCGCGGGTAAACTAATTTAAAGAAAATAAGGATTTTCGGTAGGCAGAAACCGACTAACTTCAGCCGTACATTTTTAAACAGGAAATGGAATTTACGAATAAAATCCATAAATCAGAGATATTTTGTATACAAGAAAATGTCATACTTTAAACTAAAGTTTCTTAAAAATCATTTGTATCCCATAAATGTATCTAATAATTAAATTTAGAGAGTAAATAGATACTAATCTTGAAGAAAACTGTATGAATAAATTTAAACAAATAAGTTATATATTTTAACTTATTTAGTCAAGAATTTTAATAAATAAAAATGTCAACAATATTTTATTTTCAACTTTATATAGATCTTATAAAGTGTGAAGTTGTCATACTAAATAAAATTTTCTAAAAGTATGTCAACGATACTCGCACATAAAGATGAAATGCTATTTCACTTTGAAGATAGAGTGCAAATAAAAAGAATCTTTATTGTGGAATCTTACTTTAACTAAACAGTAAAAAATGTGAGAAATTCATTTTAAAACTGCAATAGATTGTCAACTCAACTGCAGTGTTCAACTGTGTGCACTCCCTCACGTAGAAATCACATACGCGCCTTGCACTTCCTTTTTGAATTATGTGTGAATTCGGCTTCAGATATTTTGGGTTGTTCAATCCGCAGAACCCTTTATTATGTATGCACTTTATAAAAGAAATTTAATACTCTTTGTGATTTAATGAACTTTAAGCTTACATATCAATGATATTACGATAATTGTTATACCAAACGAAACATACGAACTATCGATTAAGAGATTTATTATTACAAAGTAGTAATTTCTCTGCGCTTGATATTAATTAACGGTAATTGGATGAGATTGTACACAATGGGATGATTTTCATTTAATGCACATATACTTTTGAAAAACGGATATCATACAAAAATTGATATTCCAAAATAATTGACATATAACCATTATACTCTAGTCAAAAAGTATCGGAATTTTAACGACATGGAATTGAGAGTACTTAAAAATTATTTCGCATGCATTAGTAGCGCGGATAAGCAATGATTTAGTTATATTATTTATTATTATTTATATTATTTATATTTGAATTCATAGCACTTTACTCAAACAATAGCCGAAATCAGTATTTTAATTGATATAACGAGGTGCACGTGTACTAGAACTATGGTACACAGGGTCAGAGATTAAGTTTCTGTACCAAAAACACGCTTTTATAATTTTAAAAACTTATGATTGCACTATCCCGGTAATATGTCAGATCCATGGTAATATTCTATCCAAAAAAAAAAAAAATAAAACAAAACTAGTATACATTGCTATCAAGACTTGGCTACTGATTAGACAGCTTACATATAAATAATTAAAAATAAGACCTTTTTTATGTATTGATTTTTTGTATTCAGCTGAGAACGAATCATGTATCACCATTAAGAATTACTGAAATGCTTATTATAAGATCTCTATATAGGATTAGATCTACTTGCTACCACTAATAGTACTAATGGTAATACTGCTAAAAGTACCACTGGTTACCCAAATCAAATATATCTTTAAAACTTATTTATTTTTTCCATTAGCAGTAGCAGGAAATAATTGACATGATTTAAAAGTTTGACTATTTCTAGCTTCTTCTACTTCTAGCCCCCAAACACTGTATATATGAAAGGGCGGTTCAAGGATACTACATAATTAAATCAAGAAAAACACACACAGCATTCTTTAAATGTTTCTTATGTTCTAAAGCCTTTATTTTTAAAATTTGAATAGCATTTGGAGATGACGATTTTTATACAAAGAAGCACTCTAAAAAAGCGAAAAAATACTACAAAAATGGATTTTTAAGAGGTGTTTTTAAGATAGGAAGAAAAAGCTGGCTTATACAAGGTGAGATGAAAAAACTGCAACCAACTTCAGACTGCTGTCATTTCTAAACCGCTCGTCCCACAGCTGTCAGATTTATTCTAGTGACAGCTCATTATATTGTTTACAAGCGCACAAAAGCATTTTGGTGGGAATTTTTCAAAAAAAAAGTTATTTGTGATGGAATTCAAGCGTGATAGTGTGATTGCTTTGCATTTGGCTGGAAAACCACAAGTGGCTATCGTTAGAGCCCTCCAGCATTTAGAAGTGAATAAATGTTTTGTGTCTCGTACCATCGCTCGTTACCATGATACTGGTAGCGTAGCCCGACGTCAAGGAAGTGGACGAAAAAAAACAGCAACATCGGCAGAAATGGTTCGAAAAGTGAAAAAGCGAATTGAACGAAATCCGCGTCGCAGTGGACGAAAAATGGCTCGTGAGCTGAACATATCGCAATATGCCATTCGGCAAATATTGAAAAATGAGCTTGGACTAAAGCCATTCAAGTTCCAAAAAGTGCAAGATCTTACTGATGCGCAAAAAAAAGTTAGACTCGAAAAAGCTAAAGAGTTGTTTCGCTTGGCCGAAAGTGGTGAACTGCCGAATTTGGTTTTCTCCGATGAGAAACCATTCGTTATCCAGCAGTTTGTAAACAAACAAAATGATCGTGTTTA